AGAGACAAACTCACCAAGTACAAAGATGTGGAGATCGGAATTAGGAGGATGATTGTGGAATACTAAGACGAGAATTGTACCAGTGGTGGTTGGAGCCCTTGGCTCTCTAAAGAATGGTTTTGAGAAGAATCTTAAGGAACTCCCTGGCCAACACACTGCCCAAGAAGTGCAGAAAATCGCACTACTGGGAACAGCACACATCCTGCGAAAAATTCTGGATTGAATCCCTATGTCCCAGGTTGGGACACGGTCAACCCAGAAGCCACGGGCTAATGCCGTGATCCACTTTAGAAATAATAATAATAATAATAATAATAAATGTCCTGGGTATGAATTTATACTGTATCCGGTTGTGGAGTCTCAACGTGGGAGAATGAGGATACCTTTTGCCACAACTACCTCCAGGTCACCATTGAGCAAGGTGTAGTACCTGTTAGCTCTCTCCGAGATATTGAAGTATCGGGTTGGCGTCCGACGGGGGCAAGTCTGTCTTATGGGTCGGAGGGACTCTTTAGTCTTGAACGGCAACCCCCTCGAGATAGTGTCTCAATAAAAATACCGCTCTCGATCTGGAGGAGCAAGCTCCCGATAACTGCGACATTATATTAGGGCCCACGGACGTATGGACGTGCCCTGATGTCCAGGAAAGTTTGCCCTAACAATGGGTTAAATAGTAAATATCATACCATGATGAATAAGCCAATACGAAAGTCATACCGCATCGCTCGTTGCGCGGGTCAACAAGGAGCGCGTCCCTCAGTGGTCGCTGAACAAGCTGAGGTTGAAAAATTGGTTATTGAGTCGGCAAACCTTAACAGCCAAGCTTCAGATAGCAACCAGACCGAGGCCCAATCTCAAGTTGGCCTAACTGAAGGAGCACCAACACCGCAGGCACAGTCCACCAACGCAGAAATAACCAACATAAAAACAAGGAACCAGTGGACAAAGGATGAATATAAGGATGTGATGTGGACCTATTATTTCGCCCAAAAAAACAACACTGATGGCGGGGTAGTAAAGGATACATACATGATCTGGCGAGGCAGGAATCCAAACATCTTTCCAGCCACCAACTCAAATACTCTTGCTAATGCCAGGAGGTGGATTATTAAGAACAAGAAGCTGACCGACACTGAACTTGAGCAGATAGTGGCAGGTGTCCGAAAGCAAAATAATGCATCGCAACCAACACTTATCCCCACTAAACAACCTGAAGACCTACAACCCCCAGAGCCCGAGGCTGAACAAACACTGCAGCATACGGATACCCATAAAGGTAAATCAGTAGTAGATATGGAAGGTCGAATCTCTACTAAGCTGCTTGAAACTCAGGCAATCCCCCCTGGATTAACGCAGAAGCCTAAAAAAGATTTATCTCAACAAGACAATACGGCACGATATTCAAGCTGCAAATCAGGCCCTCACCAACATTATCAAAGATAACCATTGAAACTTATCAGAAATCAATGAATTAATGTACGCGACTGCTGCTGTTATTGCTGGATAGACAAAAGAGAAAGCCACGAAGCCCACAGAAGAACCATCATGGAAGAAGAAAATCAGAAAAAATTGAAAACCATCGCAAGGACCTCTGCATCCTTAACGAAATAAAAAAATGTGTCACAATAAAGCAAGTACATGCCAAGGCCAGGAGCATGTTATGCAAGAGCCGAAGGAAGAATAAGACCATATGCGAGCTCGAACAAGAAATAAAGATAAAACTACATGCCAAAGCTCAGAGGTTGAGAAGGTTTACTAAGCGGAGTGAGCGCTACTATCAGAATAAGCTCTTCCAT